CTCATCAACTTTCTACCGCTCCTGAAGAAGGTCTCGTGCCCTTGTCGAGTTCTTCTTCACAAGTTGATGCCGCCAAGCATTGGGCCGATTTGCTTCGACATGGCAGCGACGGTTTAGCGTTTGCTATTTGTGTGCTCGACGCATTGTTGCTGTGTTTGCCTTAGGCCATTTTTCAAACGTCCGATAGCGAGCTGCATGTGTTGCGAGACGGATTGCAATTAGACCGTCCAGTGACGGTCCGCTCCGGTCCCACTCCTTTGCCAGCTTAGCTTATTCAACCCCTCACACAATCTTGACTACAGAACTTCGAGGCTGGTAGCTCGCTGATAAATCAGTAGCCGGCCAGTTTTTGTAGAGTCCACCAGCTTGTTCCCTCTTCCCACCTCTCGAGACGTGCTGGTTCTCTTACTGTTTCTGCAGGAAGTGTCATCACACCGCCGTTTGTCTTCACCTCAAACGATGTAATTTTGAAGCATTCTTTGTAGTTCCTACAGTGATGCTCGTTGCTTTGAAGCATTGTTCATCCCTCAGTGTTTGCGCATTTGAGCTGTTTGTTCAGGAAACTGAGCAAATTCAGATTGACTATGGAGAAATTTCAAATAAGGAAGTATGTGCAGATATATCCTCACATGGTCCATGCTTAGTTGAAGACGATCCTTATTGAGGATAATCCTTGAACCTTTTTCTCTTTTGCAAAAAATAAAACTCCGCACAGGCCTAGTTCTCAGATAGATCCATCAGAATCTATCAACTGATTTGCTTTGAAATCAATCACCATCAATGAATCACCAATCATATGGCCCGGAGAATTTCTTCTGTCTCTTCTTACCTACCTATCTTGAGAATACTACTTATGGTTCCTGATTGTGTTCATTCTTGTGGCATAGTTTACCTATCAAAAACCAACCAATAGCGCTTTCAAGGTTCGGGATACGCCCAACTTGATAGAAAGCGCTGAATGAGACGAACAAAAATGCTTGTTTAATAAATTTCGGTTATGATTCTTCGGTGCTATCCAGTGGGCCTTCTTGTTAAATAAGATAAGCTACACAACTTCGGGACTGGTAGCTCGCTGATAAACCAGTAGCCGGCCAGTTTTTGTAGAGTCCACCAGCTTGTTCCCTTTTCCCACCACTCAAGGCATGGTGGTTCTCCTACTGGTCTTACTGGGAAAGCCGCTATAGCGTCATTTGTTTTCACCTTGAGTGAGGCGATTTTGAAGCATTCTTTGTGGCTCCTACAATGAAGCTCGTAGCTCGCTCAAAATGGACAAGTGCGGGGCGATAAGCTCTTAGAGCTCCATTTTCTTTTGAGGCAACCGTGAAGTGTCAGGACAAACGTGCCTGTCCCCAAAAAGACCCCAACGTGGTCAGAAGAGGGATCACACGTTTCCATATCTCACACGACTAGTTTCGCTGGAAACTTTCAAACAACTTGTATCATCCTTCTTCCCCTTCTTTTCTCCTGCAAGAGTGGGAAGCACCTGTTACTTCCCCCTTGAACCCACTACCCCCTGTACCACTTCGGATACAAACTACTCTCATCATTCTCTTAAGGAATATGACTTCAGCACCTCCGTCGTTTTCAGCCTTCTGCGTTCGCTACAAATTTTTCTATTCAGAAAGTGGTTGTTCATTTTTTGTAGATGAACGCGAATCCAGTCTTTCTGTTTGTTTCCGCGCGGCTCCGGTGAACATTTCTGCTCATTGGAAATATTTATTCAAATCGGTTTCTCTTGCACATTCAAAATGGCCTAGCAGGACAAGCAAAAATAGTATGCGAGAACAGTACTGCCATGTCTTCGAGCAGAACAAGGGAAAGGGCCTGGGACGGCCGCTGCTTGAGACTGCTTCTATAGTTGTCTTACTCGAGCTCCGTAAGCGAAAATTCATCTGGGCAATTCGATTTCATACCGCCGATAGGGACCTTCATTCTTCAATAAATAAGGAACAACATTAGAGGCAGGCAATTTCGCGAAAAACTCGTATTTTCTTCGAAGACCGGCTATTAATGACACAAGCTCTCCGTATGCGACGTATGGCTTCCTTCCCCAGTTATTCTATGCATAAATATACTTTTGATGGCATTGAAAACGAGTTCGCTTGGTTTAATCGTACTAGAACTGATATGGTGTGTATTGAAAGGGGACGCACTATCACACACGAATGCCGTTAGCATCGCATCTTGGATCGCAACTTGCCCAGGCCAGGCCGAGGCTCCCTCTGGACTGCTTCAATGCTTCCAGACTTGTATATTAGGAAAAAAGGCTGACGTCGTCTGACTAGCGCACGCCATTGTATAGGGCCTGTACGCATTCAAAAACGCCGCATGGGTTCTGATTGGAAGTCGAATACGGGGCGCATTCCAAGGTCAACGTCAGAAGTTTAATCCCTACATCCTTTCTTTTTAACCTGATTACAAGTCACTATCACCATTCTTCTTCAGTTTTAACCTTCAGCTCTCGCGAGGAATTTTTCTATGCAAAAACAGATGTTCATTTTTTGTAGTCTGGCACTGATTCTGTCTTGCTGCTGGAATACTGTACTGAAGCGTTTCACAACACCTTCCCCAAAGATTATATCACTTTCTTATCATCACCAACTGATCCTGCTCTTCTAATTGACCAATCATTTCAATTCTGAAATGTTATACACCCTCCAGGCAGCTATTGTACTGCTTCGTTTCGAAAGAACATTTTCTTTCCATAAACGCATGGTCGCGGGTTCGATTCCCGGATCGACATCCGCTTGGGCCTATCAAGCCTCCATATTTAGCCCAACTCCGTCAGGTATGAGCAGGGACCCTGGGGATTTCGATAGATCGTTGAAGATCAGATCGGCTGGATTTGCTTTTCAAAAAAGGCCTTTGGATCAAAGCGATTTTCGAGTGAGAACGTTAAAATGAGAACGAATACACGCACGGTACTGCGGCAAATGAGAATAGGGGATGTAATTAAAGAGGCGTTTTGGCTTTCACGCATTTCATGCTCTTCAAAAACGCCATTTATTAAATTCCCAGATACAGTATTCCTATTTTGTTGATTGTTAGTCTCAAACTGCCACTCATTTAGCTTATTTTACGAGAAATCTGAATAGCGATTAAGTAACTCAGTTTGTTGGCCTATGTACTTTCGCTTTCCAATTGGTTTCTGGAATCTCTGCCAATAGGCATTCAAGCAGAAGTGCTTTCCACCACCTACAGCTCTTCTGTTAGAGTGGTACGGTTTCAGCCATGAATCCGGTCGTTCGGGAATGTGTCAATAAATAATGGAGGTGGTGTCAGACGGGTCAGTCCATGGAGGACAATATTTTCATTAGATTTAGGTCTTTCTGTAACGTAATTGCCCTCGGACAAAACTAAGACAAAAAAATGAATAAATTAAAAGAGATGCTGTTGCAGATGAACGAGCCCTCTCGTTTAAGCCCGGGTAGGATTTTCTTCGAGCCACACCCTTTACTCTTTTACTCTCAATTTCGTTACCAAGTCCAAGAAGAAGCCAATAAGGTAGATGACAATACTCAAAGAAGCTGTCCACCTTTCTCAAGCAATACAACAAGACAACTGTCAACATCAATGGCAATGAATAATTCCGGCCAAAGTGGTCAAAAGATTTCGAAATTCAAAGAATACCCCAACAATTTTTTGAAAAATTCCGAAGATTCTCTTATCAGTTGTGTCTGCTCATTGCCCCCTTTCAAATCATAAATGTTTATGTTTGCCTAATGTTGTTCTTCCCCTATCAATGTGAACATTGAATACCAAGATGCTAAACATTCCTTTCTTCCACTTTTTGTCGTCAACAACAGTAAATATACTAATTTACGTAGTAACAGTAACCACTATTTCTTGCTTTATAACAATTCACCAAGGCTTTTGATAATCATCGAAACATATCAAAATCTTACTTACTGGTTATTACTTGGTTCCTCGTCCGTCATTCAAAAAAAAAACAGAATAGTTGCCAATTTTATTCTATTGCCTTACAGATGAATTAGATTTTTTTTTGATCGAGAGAATGATCTTCAACGCTACCAGACGACCTACTGTCGGTCACCCACAGCGTCCAATAAACAAGGTCCTTACCCATTCTCTGCAAGCCCTAGATTTTCGGGAGCTCCCAGAATATGGTTGGCATTCACCCTGGAAAAACCCTAACAAGACAAAATTGCTGGCCTGAATACCTCCTGACCATCCACTCTTTTTCACTGATCGATGCCTACTCAATACCCGAAAGTAAGGTGGGGTTGAAACTGGAAAAGGAGAGGATGGTCTTTCATTGCTAAGCTTCCGACCTGAAAATGAGTTTTCAGTAACCTTCCTGCTGACCTGTCCAACCCATGGCCATCGAGAAGATAGAATATTGCCTAAGCACTAAGAGCACTGAGAACTTCTACAGCGATCCGGTCAAATGACTATTTGTCACTCTTGGAGTAATCATCGCTCTCCAGCAATTCATTCTCCTGGAAACGGCCTTGCACTGCTCTGATTGATAGGGTTTCCCGAGAGGGTCGTTGGGATTCATGTCCTTGATGGTTTCGGTCCTCCCGAACGAGGAAATTTTATGTTATCTCTATGTGGGGCTAGCTATTAGGCACATCCGAACCCCCTGATCTCTGCAGCCTTGTTTGCCGGAAACAGAGTGTATGCCATGAATTAACGCTGTAAAGATTCGTTCTCAACGCTAACCAAAGAGAACCAAAGAGAGTGTAGCCCTAGTAATTTGGGAGCGGTGAAACCTTCTCCTTAGATACCTCATACGTTCTCAGTTGACTTCTTGTCTGCTTATTCGCCATCGGCATCTAGACGCCGTGTTTGTTTGAATTCGTTTTCTTCCTAGGTAATCCTTCCCAGGAAGAAAACGGGTTAATTCATACCATGTTGAATTCCGAAACCATTTTTTCGTGAACTGAGCCTTCAATAATAAACCAGTTTATTACAGCGAGCTCACCATTACCATCATGGAGCGGAAACATCCTCCACTCCGTCGAGTCTCCCGAGCAATGCCGACAGGTGGAATGGCTTTGGGAAAGGGAGGTCGTCGAGTGGACCTGAACGAAGAAGACAGTTGCTACAGCTCATGCTCTGAAGAATCGCACCCGTCACTTTCTCGAGAAAGTTCCGACACCATCGGTTCAGACTTCGGCTTTGCACGACTTCATTTAGGTGCCGATAGACCATTAGCCCCCATTACAAACTTCATGCAATCGATTTATCATTTCAGATGACGATCCTTCAGAAGCCATCACTCCGATGTCGGCGCCTCCACATCTTGTCGAGTTTGCCAGGAATCTCGGCTACTCTGAGGATCGTTTGATTACTGTTCTTAGGAGAGTCGGCTGTGACGCTGGCCAGGTAAGAGGCATTTCTATGTTGTCTTCTGTTGCTATGCTAGGCTTGCTTTTTTTCCCTAGAATAATTTTTCCCTCTTCTGATTTTTTTCCTTTGGCAGCTTTGTTCTTCTTCGAAGCACATCGAATTATTGAAACTTTAATAGTATAACTGCTTAAGCCTTGTATATTTAGGACAGGATATTGTCAGAGCTGGTTCAGATGGGACGAGGCAATAGCGGGATACAGCCGGAGCCGATTCCAGCAGCAGCGACGTCGTCAACGCTTCGACCGATCGTCATCGACGGATCGAACATTGCCATGACGTCAGTTTTCTGTTATCTAATGTTGTAACAAAGAAAAACCTTCCAGATTCTGAAAAAACTGTCATTTCCGCTCAGATCTGCACAGGGTGATTAAGGAGTGGACAGCAAACTAGCACGAGGGGCGGTTTTGCCAGATAATCTATTTCTGGACTGAACTATTCGACGGTATTCATAGACAGTGATATGTACCGGATTTCGGCTTTTCCTTCCTATCGTTTTCGTAAAGAAGAGCATCCTCCATCCCATCCTTATTTACCCAAATGTTTACCCATTTTCATTTTGTACACACAAATATTTGGCGAACCAAGTGCCTTGTCATCAAGTTATTTGAGAAGCCAATCGTCATGAAGCCATGTTTATACTCAGTCATCGCCCTATAGTGTTAATTGCCGACTGTTCATATTTACAGAGCATTTTTATCAAACAGTATCAGCTCTTATCATTCGAAATAACCCTGCACCTCATGTCAACTGACGGCATTTATGAAGGTGCAAAAATGAAAATCCCCTGAAGTCTTTTGGCGTTAATAGATCCCGTTTGAAGGTGCGATCCCACAGTCGGCTACCATTCAGAATCGTATTGCCGTAATGAATGCGTATGCGGTGACCACCCGATGTAGAAATCAGTATCTTTATCCTCCCAGACGAGTCTGGTACTGATTAACCGGCTTAAGAGGGGTGGAAGACTTGGTAGTAGACGGATACTGATCTGGGATTCGAATCCGTGATCATGTACGTGTGATAGTGCGCCACTTGCCACTGCGCCACCACTACCCTAACAGCCCTAGGTGCAAAATGACGGTGTCAATATCGAAAGCATCACATCGTCCACGAAATGATAAGTCAGGCCAAAGGCAACGACATCGTACACTTCGGTGTTTGTTTGGGAATACTCTCGTTGCCGATCATGTGAAAAGGTTCACCTCCCAAACCTGATTCTCCCAGCATTGAATATTCTAGACTGGATTCAGCAACAAAAAATAGTTTTGCATAGAAAAATTCGATTTTGCAACTTGCAAATGTCCCATACATGGCAGAGAGGGCTCTACTTCTGCACATTATCAGAGATACTGTCAGAAATATAGAAATACCTACAAAAGAATAGCTCTTTTTTTTCGAATTCCAAATCGTTGCTGATGCTTACAGGGCTTTCCTGATCAACTGTTGCCCTCCTCATTACATCGAAAGAGCACTGCGAATGATGGAGCCATCAATTGCTTTATGTCTCGATGCTCGAAATATCATTCATTGTTTCCGTCCCTTTCCATGGGCGAAAAATTCAAGTGTCCAGCGATAACCCACTTGATATCTGGACAATTTCGGCACACTGCAGGACTGGTGATAGAAAAACAGCAAATAATCTTTGGTGATAACCGGTTCCCGAACCAGAAAGCAGGGTTAGCGATGTTTTTTATGCGGAAACGTTATTTTGAAGAGGCTGATCAAGTGGTTGAGAATACGTTATAAATAGATTTTCCTTGAAAACCGCGCCAGTGATTGCGACTTGGTGTTGGACCGGGCAGAGATACGGCTACATCACAATGCCGCTCCGTCTTCGGTCGATAACGGTTGATATGGCCATTTGCGGTTTTCACAGTGACATTTGTTGGTGCAAGAAGATTTTCTTTGACGAAAACAGGAAAACGGTGATATCGCTGAATCGATCGGCGAATTCTGAGCTTGGCGATTGATATCGGAATGCCAGAATTTGGATGCATGAACCATGTTGAGGTGTCATCGTCATGCCTCCGAAATCAGTCGAAAAACCGGATCTCCTTAGTCGCTACTGGCAAATAAGCATGACGACATGATGTCAGTTGTGGCTTATCTACTAGACCAACTTGGTCGACCATTTTTTCTTTCTGAAAGCAATGTGAGGCATGCAGAATACCACCCTACGCGGTTTCCTACGTCAATATGTGTGAAGGCCAGGACTGTTCCTCGTCGATTGACCCCTTTTTGGAACCCCTTTTAGCCATCCTATTCGACTTCAGCTCAGAATCGTAGTGCCGTTTAGATCCGTTACTGGTCTATACGATGACTGGCGGTAGCCAACCGATGTGTAAGTGAGCACTTTCATCCTCCCAGTCTAGCACGGTACCAAACAAATGATCCCCTAGGTGTGAAAGATTAGGTTGGTTCGGTGGATATTGGTCCGGGGCTTGATCCCCAGGCTATGCCTATGGTAGTGCGCGCCGCTTGCCACTGCACCCTGATGGTGGTGATACATATTTGTTGCCCCGAGCGATTTCAACCTTCAAAAACGGTGGCTGGTTACGGTCACAAGGAATCGGAACGCTGTAGGCAGAGGAAGCGTAGACGCTTTGGCGCTACGCTTCCTCTGTTTTCTGGAAGTGACCAAGCGATTGTCCAACCGTAAGGGAAGCCCGAGCCTATTGCTATGACGGATCAACCAGAGACTAGCTGGCGCACAGGTACAAAGTGCAGCGTGCCGTTCATAGGATGATGAAGTTCACGGGTGTTCAAGTCTTCACAAAGTCCCAGATCTTCGCCCTTAAGACTATTCTAGATCTGTGCAGAGTTTCAAAAATTTTTTAGATAACTAACTAACATCCTCTCTTTCATGAAGCAGCTGATCATTCAACATTTTTGGTACTGCTCCAGACTTTTCATGGTCCTCACTGTCCAAATTTAGGCATGGACGAAAGGAAATGTTCTCCTGTGCGGGAATTCGTGACTGTGTACGATTTTTCACGGACCGAGGTCATGAAGACGTCCTGGTGTTCATTCCACAATTCAGGTAACCTAGCAATGACAAGGAGAGAGTTGCGTTTCCTTGATTTCTGTAAATGATCCCTGACCCTCGTTTCAGGCGAGAAACGGCCCGAGCAGATTGTCCCATCACTGATCAGCACATTCTGGATGAGTTGGACGCTGAGCGACGCATCGTCTGGACGCCTTCACGGTCGGTTCACTTCCCTTTCTCAGTTGTGTTTGTTATTCCTTCACTATCATGGAAACATCACTCAGCGCAACCATATTGTTTACTGCTTATTTCGAGCGGCTGACAACAGAAACCAGTATTTCGCTTCCATTTCTAGCAGTCCTTCCATCCTAAACTTATGAAAAGGAGAACTGGTTCCGAGTGAATGGTTCATTTTTCTATATACGGCAATGAATTCTCTCCATTTCCAAAATTCTCCTTTTTTTGGGCTCTTTTTTCTGACTTTTCTGAGTTCCCTGATTCTTTTAAGTAAAAAAAAAACAAATGAAAACTTTCTATTTCCGTAACATGAGGAGATGATAGTATTCTGTAGGCCTGAATTCGGTACCAAAAGAAGACCCCGCTTTGGAGGCGGTTCTCCTGCGCAGCTATCAATCTGGCATTCTATTCACGAACCATGCGCATGTAGAAGTGCATCACTGGCCACACACCACCTCACAATTCATTCAGCCGTAGAGCGGTTGAATATGTTTCTTCAGGAAAGGGGGGACTCAGCTTCTGAAATGATTTTTGGAATGATTTTTTTGCACTGCGTTTTACAGAATTTTTAGAAAAATTCTGACATTATATTTTTACTGCATACTTTGCGATAACGCGGTGGCTCATGCTGCAGGCCTGCCCAAAGCCCAATTGAAGGGTTTGGGTTTGAGGCGAGGTCCACCTTCCACAAGGCTCAGCTATCATATTATCATGAGGTTTCCATCTCTTATGATCACTAGGGCTCCAATCATGACAATTCGACATGTAGTAGCATCAATTCGGTGCCGCAGAAATGGGTCTATCAGAATAGTCAATACAGTAGACTGAATGAACTTTTTTGTCTAGGAAACATGATATTGTTTTCCTGTGTACAAAGCTTTGTTGCACTTGCTGGCATTAAGACCTTTACATTACATTACCTAAAATAGTTCCTTGTAGTAGTTTGAAAATGAATCGGAAGTGGAAAGGAATGGACTGATCCCTTGCTTTTTCAATATGAAGGAATTCTTTTGAAGGGATTAAGGTGGTTTTGGATGAGCCATTAAGAACTATTGAACCCCTAAGAAACTTCTAAGCAGTCCTGCAGATAGCCAGGAACGATCACCCGGTTTAAAGAGATCACTTGCTGCTTTCTGTTTCCAAACTGTCTTCACTAGTTATCTGGCCCTTTGAGAGACGGGATGTTCATAGAAACTTGTCGTGCCGTTCAGTTCTAATTTCTCAATCAACCTGCAAATTGCATGCACTCATGTGTTTGTCGTTCTTCTGCAGATCCCATAATGACAAACCCTTCAGACGCATCAATGGACGTCGAATCGTCTGCCATGACGACCTGTATATACTGAAAACGGCAGAAGAGAAGGATGCTGTCGTAGTGTCTAACGATGCCTACAGGTCTGTACTGAAACCTTCTCGACTCTGGCATTTTCCTTCGAACGATGATTTGTCGTATTTCAGAGACCTGCTCCGAGAACATCCTCAATATCGCCGTATTGTGGAAGAGCGCTTGCTCATGTACAGCTTTGTGGACGGAAAGTAAGCTCTTTGAAAGAAAATTCCTCTGCTCGCTCCAAATCATGCAGCTCAGGTTCATGCCCCCAGAGGACCCACTTGGGCGATACGGTCCCCGCCTACAGCAGTTCCTCTCCAACAGCTCGGCCCCGTCAACCGCTCAACTCTGCCCTTACGCGAGGAAGTGCACATATGGCAGCAAATGCAAGTAGGTACAATTGCTGCCCTCATTTCCTTGCTCAGGAGATCACATTTACATTTCCATTCAGGTATTATCATCCCGAACGACCTAATGGAATGCATGTTAGCGTGACAGACCGCTTAATGCGCGAGAAAAATCAGAACAGACCGTCAACTTTACGTAAGTTATGGGACGGGTTACCCCTGAAATGCATTATGTATCTATATTGAATATTAGACAATTGTAGGCCCGCTGATGCAGATGGAAGGACCAAAAACGGACCACCGTAGCATTGGAAGAACTAGATCGCTTAACATCGATCCACGATCGGTTCAGGAGAGCAAAGCAACAGTACGTGGTTCCAAACTCGTTACACAATTGCCAGAACGCTCCAGTTACCCTACAGAGAGCTTTGTCTGGGGAGCATTGGATAGCTTAACCGTGTGGTTAAATCAAAAATAAACAGCAATACTTGTGAAGGATCCAAATCGGAGATCTATGAACACGCCATGGAAGCCATCTAGTTCTAATGCCATAACGTTTTTCTTCTGCGAGATTTTCAGTACTGACATACTGCTGAAAGATTTGGACCAATTGAGACTTGAATCATACAGCTCTTTTTCTTCCCTGTAGCCATCCATAAAATGAATAATTCAAAGCCGGCCATTTTCATGAATAATTGAAACGTTGAGCTATTCCTGAGCACGGTTTTCGAAGACCTACTTTCCTTCTGATGGCCTCCTCCGGGGAATTAAAGAAATGGCGAATCTGCAACTGCATTTTTAAAACGTTGAATCGTTAGTAGGAATCTATAGCATCCATGAATTAAGCCTCGAGACATGCCCATGCTAACGTCTTGGCACAATGCTGTTGCCCGGAATGCATCGGTTCCACTATCGTTCAATGGGACGGAGCAGGAGACTGGCACACTTTTTGCACCATCGACAGCCGTATGGGGGCACAGTGAACTAAGTGTCGGTCCCCTAAACCCACAAGAGTAAGTTCCATCTGTGGCCGATTAATCTGAACATAGAAGCTCAAATCACTCAAGAATTGTGGCATTTCAGTGCTCCACTGGACAGGACCCAACTCCAATACCATTTGAGCAAGATCTTCCCGGAACAATTGGTGTCGTCAGTTTTGCAGTCACATCCCTACGAAACGAATTCGCAACGTCTTTGCCAATACATTCTTGATCTTCAGAAAGGATTCGGCTAAGTCAGTATGCAGACTATGACCTCTGCTCATCTTCCCCTCTAGTCATCGTTAGTATTCTGTAGAGTTTTTGTGTGTCGCCCCTATCTTTGTAATTGTGAATTCGACCCGTTTCTTTTCATGTGGTTTGTGTATGGTCCACTGTGATAAGCAGAGAGAATGTCCCTTGCCCGTGACGGTCTTTATCCGCCCTCCGTCGCCTCCCTCTGAGAGTCAATCATATTCCCCTGATTTCAATGTTTTCGGTGACGTGAAACTAGAAGGTAGAATCATACTGATTCGCTTTTATAAATATTTAAGTGTTCTGTAGCATTTTCACTGTTCACCAAGTCTTTTCATCCTCGAAGGAAAACGAAGAATCAAGTCTAATGATGCGATGATTAGTTCTTGTCCTCGAGCTGAAAGATCTGCCGCTCAATATTACACTTAAATAGTCGACCTACTCACAACCCTCCTCCAGGCCGCGGTCCTTATACTTCAGTTTTACTCCTTGTCATAGAATGAGAGCTGGGTGTGGGTACATTCACCCAGAACTGGATGGACGCGGCAAACCGCGCGGCGAAATTCGTGATGATTAATACGGCTGTGGCGCCTGTCATTGCGACACGGGTTCCAAGTAGATTGCATATGTAGGGCCAGCTGATGCTACTTATTTATCCCACTTTGAATTTGTGCCCCAATGATAGGCACCAGAGTCGTTTTAATCCCCACGAATTTCGCCGCGCGGTTTGCCGCGTCCATTCAGTTCTGGGTGAATGTTCCGTCCCCCATAAGAGCTACTTACTGGAAGCTGTCCGCAAACATGTGTAAGGTTTTCTGAAAAACGGGCAAAAAAAAAA